AGCCGGCCGACTGGACAGCTTTAGAAAAGTGCACAGATTTTGAGCTTTTAGCTGTATTTTCTGATGTTTTACAGCTTTTCCTATTGATAAAGATCCATCTTCCCCCATTGACATTCACACTACATGTGGCCTACAGTGTAAAACGAGTTCAATGTCCCTGTTCGAGATGTAAGCTGGATGTGTGTCGATTGGATCAGTGTAATTACACCTCTGACGTCTGTGTTCTGACTTCTGATCATTTTCAGAAAGTAATCAGCTCTGTGCAGAAATAAGGAAGCAGGGAATCTGGGTTAAAGAGTATGTTACTGTATTTAGGATAGAATCAGCTTCTCTTCTGTTTGTAGCCTCTGTTTCGTGTAGCTACACTAACACGGAGGGGGTGACGCTTTGATTTAATCCTGACATAAAAGAACACACAGTGACAGACGACAAATTTAGCTCCTTTCAAATTAAAACCCAGTTCACATCTTTCTTTTGGTTCTTGTTAAGTTTTAGTCATAGTTGTGATCTACAGAGGAACATACATGCTTCCCATAAACCAGTCTAAACAGACAGGCTCACATGCAAGCTAACAGGCTGGATAAGAGAAAGGGAAGTTCATCTTGAAGACGGAAGAGTACAGGAGACTGCGTCACGTACATCTTTACTGAGGGTAAAAATAGGGCGGGGGTATTGCTCTGTCATATAGATGTGTGGAGTCAAATACCCCAAATAGGGCACCAGAGAGTTAAAAGAAGAAAAAGGAGCATGCTGCTACAGCAGCTGGTTTATTTCCACCAGTCCAGTCTGTGTGGCAGAAATGAGCAACACGATTAACACGAAGTCTTTTGGCCTTTTGTTGTTGTTTCTTTTAATCCAGCATCCTGCACAGCTATTTATTTGTCAGGCCCGGCCTGTGAAGCGGGTTGGGAAGAGTTGGCTACAAAAAGAAAAGGAAACATTAATTCTTTACCCCTTGAAAACCTATTAGAAGTAACCCTCAAAGCACTTTCCTGAACTGAGTGGTGACTCATATTTCAGGCTGCTTATAGATCGAAATAACTGGGTGGCCTCTGCCGATGCAGCTACCCTTGGAAAAATCCAGATACGATTCTAATGGTTGTTAAACCACATCTTTATTGATATATACTGAAGTGTCAGTGCGTAAACATCTGCTGCATCAATGACAAATGAGTTTATACAGATGTTAACAGTATTGTATACATCTGAGCATTTCTGTGACTCACTTTGGTTCAGTAACACTTCAGCTAGATCTGAGAAACTTACTCAAATTCTTTGAGGTATATTTGTAAGACTGTGTAGAAGAGAAGAGGATTATCACATAACTCATAAAGATGAGGGGAAGTGTTGCCGTCTTTGCTGAACTGGAAAGGTCATTTTGTTTTTGCTGAAAAGGAGAGACAAACGGCAGCCAGGTCGTCACTGTGGGGAACAGATGGTATCAGAGTGCAGTGAAAGGTGAGGTCAGAAACTGTCGACCCCTCCTGACAACGTTTTTCCTCTCTTCCGCCCCCACAGCCATACTTCTCGGGTACCCGCAGTCTCTCCCCCATGTCCAGCCTGTTTGGATCCATCTGGACACCCCAGATCGAGCCCTACCCGAGCCACTTCCAGCCCGAGCGATCGGCCCCGGTGTCCCCCATCACCCCGCCTCACTCCCCCTTTACTCGGGAGCCAGTGGGGGCCTGCGGACCGCTGCAGTACTCCAGCTTCAACCCTTTCGGCCCGCACATGAACTTGGACATATGGAACTCTTCATCCAACCGCAGCTCCAACTCGCAGCTCTCCAACGACTCCGGCTACTGTGGAGATGTTTAAAACAAGTAAATACAGCAGAGCTTAACTATAATTGGAAACTTATAAGTCAAGAAAAGGAAATAAAAAAAGAATGTTCTTTTATCATTGATGGGGAAAATGTGAATATTGTTTTTCTTTTATGTTCCCATTTTCAGATGTTATATGTTGTGAAAGGTTAAGCATTTGTTGTATATTTTTCTAGCTGTTTTGCAGTTTTGATCATAGAAAATTAAAAAAAAAAA